CGTTCTCCTTCAAAACACCTTCCAGCCATTTCCCAGCAACAGCAGTATTTAAAACAACCAAGTCAGCTTTCATCGCTGTATCTATCGCTTTCTGACTTTTTGCAGAAAAAACCTAAAAATTTAAAAGCCAAATTATCCATTTCAACTATCCGTTAAAATTTTAATAATTTAATTCACATCTACCAAAAAAGAATTACCTGCACTCCGCGGTCCAACATTTTACGTTCTAAGCTGTAAATAACACCATCATCAGCTTGGGCCGGTTTCTGATTGGTGATCCAAACCACTTTGGCTCCAACTCCTCTTAATAAAAACGCAAGCTCCATCAACAACAGAGGTCCGCCTTCAATTTTATTTTAAATCTCCACTTAGTACATTTTTCTTCTCTGAAAATAAAAAAGAAACGAAAAGAAAAGGAAGAAGAAATCGAGTACCAGAAAGAGAGAGCTCGTGAGAGACAAGGAGAACGAGCTTTGATTTCATGAAAGCAAGAGGATTCGGTCCTGAACTTGATGTTTGCGAAGCTGATTGGATCTGCGCTTGGAACTGGTCAGTAGAGTTACAGGAGTTGAATGCGGATCTCGTGAAGAAGAAGAATGTCAGTGTTAAGAGAGTGAACAGAGCCAGAATCATCAGTGTCCATCTCTTCTTCTGCAATGTATTCCACGCGGTTGCTTGTTTTCCCATTTTACTATTGCTTCGCTCGCTGTTTCGTGGATTTTAATTCTCTGGTTTGATGCAGTTTTCGAAATCGGAGTCGACGTGGATCAAAGTAGGAATCAAAAATCAAAATCTTGTGTTCCACTTCGTTGGATGGATTATTTACTGGTTTGTTTACGATCCGTCGAGACGTTTGGCATGTCGTTGGTTCCACATGGTCGAGCCCAGACGACAATTATACTGGGCGACCGACGATTTTAAATAATAGGAGATGAGTCGATAGTTATAGATTCAGTGCCTGCACTATATATATATATATATCAAATTTCTATGTGAGTCCCTCTAGTTTACTTTTGTTTGTTTGAGTACTCATATTGTTTTAGAAACTTTAATTAAATACCTTTTTTAATCATTGATGTGGAAATACTTTAGAAGGGATTTTTTTATATAAAAAATATATAAATTAAAATATAAGAAATTATAGAAAATAAATAACTATTTAAATGTAGCAAAATAACAAAATTCTGATTATCTCTTATAAATATCAACATCCTGACCATTGTTCCTTTTGTCATGCACTGCTAATGTTCTTTCATTATAATTATTTTGCTTCTTTTCACCTAGTATTTATTTAATTAGTTAATGGGCTTGCAATTTAATTACCTCTCATATTTTTTTTTTTAAAAAATCTAAAATTAGATTTTTTTTTAATTATATAAACCACGACGCATGTACTTTATATATATATATATATATATATATAAAAGTGTCTGGATCAGTTTACGTATATTTCAATTAATCTCGTAAGTCCTGAAGTTAATGATTAAGTAAGTCTCAAGTGATCCTGAGATTTGTAAAACTTAAACTGGTGACCTCTAGAAAGTAACTCTAGAACTTAACCAGTTGAATTACACTCTTCAAAAGTTACATGAATTGTATAATTGACTTCTTAAATTGGATTAAGTTAAATCTATTATTTTTATCTAGAAATAATACTGATTTAATTTTTTAGTGTTGACTTAATTAAGTATAAATCAAGTTTAGTTAGGATAATTAAATCATGAACCAAAAAAAATTAATCCAATAAATTTCAAAACTTATTGAATCTAAAATTTAATCCTTGGGTTGGCTTAACCAACTATGCTATAAAATGTCATTTCAGATAATATTTCGAAGAGAGGAAAATGAAAGTGAAAAAAAAAAGGCACTCGTTTACATTTAGAAGAGAAATTAACTCGAAAAATAAAATCAAGACCAAGTAGCATCTATTATTGCAACACTTCAATTCATATCAGATACCGGATTCCACCATAATTAAAAGCTTAATACAAATACATAATTCTCTTCACCAGGTTACATGGTTACTCATTTTAATTAACAAGGCGACAGTTCTTCCTAACTTCACCATTAAAACCTGTAAGAGGACTAATGTTTCCCATCTTAACCATAGACTTGGCAAAATGCTCAAAGAACAGGCCCTCATCCTCAGCATATCTCTTAACCAACTGAATTGTCGTGCCAACTTTTCCTGTATAAAGCACTTCATCAGAAGTGAGAAGCCCTTTGCCCCATAGTAAGAGCTTGAAGTAAGTGTTGTCAAATTTTGCTGGAGATGCCAAGTCCAAGGGAGAAATGTTATTGTCTCCTCCAGATTTTGGACACACTGACTTCAAATCTAGGAAGTAGTTTTTCTCTATAGTATGATCTGGCTGGTTGTTTCCATTTTGGTTGTATAGCCTCTGCTTGAAGGTCACACACCTTGCCACCCCAATTGTATGCCCTCCTGAAACATGGCAGTTTTCAAATTAATAATCAAATGATCCATCTGTGTTATAATGTGGGGTGACAAATATTAACATACGCAGAAGGATGTGTTGTGTTCAAACCTGAGAGAGCAACAAGGTCAATATCGTTAAGGCCTTGACGCTTGAAAAGTGATATGAGGTTTTGAATGGTGGAGTTGGGTGCAGGGATGTTGTTGTTTGAGCCACTCAGACTCGCAGTCTTTGAGTCCCTTCTTCCTAATGGGAGTTCCCAATTAGGCCCACCGCTCTGTATCAAAACACCAACCGGTTTTTTGTTAGCGAAAAACTGGGTTAATAAATGGCATAAGGTGCCAAGAATTCAGAATTCAGAAGGTAGAATTTGGTTTTAGATTTTGCTTACTAGCACAGTTGAGCCACGAGCTGCCAAGGCGAGAATGTCGGCGCAGGAGACAGTTTGAGGGCATGCTTCTTCCAACTTAGCCTTGATTTCATCAACCACTTCAAATCCTCTGAGGGAATTCTTGTTTGGTCCAGAATTCTTCTCACTCACTATCTTTGCACTATCGTCCAACAATAACGATGCATCACAACCCTGCAAGATCAATAACATGACAATTTAATCAAGCAATAAGTTGCTTATAAGTCTGCTGAAGGCCATATGATGTGATCAATTCAAAGAAATGGTTACAGATTATGCGTAGAACAAAGATAAAATGCAGAGAAGATGAAGAAAATACAAAACTAGGTGTATGACCTGCACAAAGCAATCATGAAAATGAAGCCTTAGCAAAGAGGCAGCCATCCTGGAGTCCTTTGCAATAGCTTTTCTTAACACTAACATGACAATGTCATTAGCTTGAGGACATGAATACTGATAGAATTCAGGGAACAGACCAGAGGAGCCACCACCAAAAGGACCACCCTTTCCACCCCAGCCAAGACCAGGATGAGCTAGGCTCGTTGTTGATGAGAGGAGAACAATCATGACAATGAAACTAAAACTCGCTTTAGAGAAAGCCATGGAAAAGAGGATTACTATAGTTCAGTGGGGCTCTCTCTGTTTGCCATCTCTACTCCTTATATCTGCAACTCAAACGCGTCCCTTACCAAATCCTTCTATAACACCTAATATGGATAGATATGACCATGTCTTTCTTGTTTGCATGCCTCTTTCGGCATAGAAGAGAACATACATGTGCTTGTTGATGAATTTGGTTGTGTAAGTGTTTCTGGTAGTACCTGCTCCAAGACAAGAGCACAAGAGTATCTCTGAGCCTGCTTCTTCAACTTGCGGTCTCACCATATCATGAGGTTAATCAGTGACGCCACTTAAAAAATTCACGCATATATTTGTTATTTATTCTCCCTCCCTCTAGCCCACTTGTTAAAGAAATCATATCATGAACATAGTTTTCGGGGAAAAAAATTAAAATAATATAATTTTGATTAATTTTTGTAAAAAACAGTTACTGAGTTTAGTGGGGAGCCACAGTGGAGATTAAGAGACAATTGCCCTTTCAATTTTTATTTATTTTTAAATATTTTTTATATTAAAAATTTTAAATTATTGTCCCTACCTCCTTTTCTTCTATAAATTTGTTTTCAAGTTCTAAACTATTAATTAGTTAAGTAACTAACATTTCATGCTCTATACTTAATGTTTTAAGTGAGTTTTCTTCATTTGTTCTATTTATTTTATTGTTTAATTTTAATTTTATTTCTTAATAATATGATAATTTATGGATTTGTTAAATTAATATGTATATATATAATATTATATGCATATGAATATGAATTGAAATGAGTTTTAATGAATTAATATATATTTTGTTATGAATTTCATATGAAAATGATAGTGATCAATAAATTAGTGATTAAAAATGAAGTACTGAATAACTAAAAAAATTAAAAAAATATATTAATATTTATATTTAACCCACTTGTATAAAATAATAAATTAACAAAGAATTATTGCTAATGATTTCACTAGTCCTTAGAAGATTTTGAAATAGATAAATAAAAGATTCATTATATATATTGAGAAAAAATATCTTTAATAAAATTAATAATAAAGTCATTATTAAGTAATTTTAAAATATGAAAACTTGAAAAAATTAATTATAATGTAAGTTTTTCTATTTTAAAAATATTCTTAAATTAATTTTGCTTCACATAAATTAGTACATGAATTTCAAATTGATTTAATGTAAGTTTTTCTATTTTAAAAATATTCTTAAATTAATTTTGCTTCACATAAATTAGTACATGAATTTCAAATTGATTTCTCTATTATAACACATGTCTATATAATATATGATATCTAGTATTTATAATTTGTCTTCTCATTTAAAATTTTTTAACTCCAGATTAAGTTAATGATTAGATTTTGACTATTCAATCATTTTTTTTTAACTCGAACTTTAAGATAATTATATCTTAAGGATACCAACTAATTTGGATTTTAAAACGATTATGAGCTTGTTTTTTTTTTAAAAATATTTTATTTTTTACATGTTTTTTATGTTAATATAAAAAATATTATTTTAATATATTTTTAAATAAAAAATACTAAAATTAACTCAATAACTTATTTAATATTGATTTTCGAATTTGTTGGGCTAATAGGTTCAAGTAGTCATGGAAAAGCCCATGGGCCCTGGCCCTAGGGTTACAGAAACACCATTGCAGAAAAATGACACCCACAGGTTTCTCCATTCCTTCTCGAAACTTATCACGTGCTATTAGTGGATTTAACTTGTGCTTTGTAGAACTACGACGTTTTGACCTCTTCGAACGCAGTTCCCTTGGTAGCATTTTCCTTTCTCATGGTCGTAGCATGTCCAATAGCCACCCATCTCTAAGAGCTTATGCTGCGATTCAAAGATGCGGATTTCCGTTGCAGTCAAGGGTGAGTTCTGTACAGTCCGATCTAGAGACTGGCATGAAAAAAGGTATGGATCACCGTTACTTCACGAGTAATTAGATCAATCCAAACTCAAATTAATTAATTTTACTAAAATGATAATATTTTATTTTTTAATAAAATATTAACCTGATCAGGTTTGAACCAGATTACTAAAATTCAATTAGATCAAATAAATTTGATTAGGTCAATGACTCATTCAATTCAACTAGAAACCTAACCTAAATTAGAGATCGTTCACCGTTCATATTAACAGTATTTCCAACTCAAATCTTTTAATGTTATTTATAATTTATAATAATAGGTTATAAATGGGTAGAATTCTTGTTTGCTAGAACCGTTACTTCGGCAAAATAGCAATGATAAAGGTTAATGCGGGAAATAGGAAACACAAAAATCCCTTTTCAAATTTGTTAGGCTGGGAAATACTGAAGCTTTGTGATATAATCATTCGCTAGAAGCTTTCATTACAAGGATGGATTGTAAAAGAAAATCTATCTACAACAATAGGTGATCTCTCTCCCCCTTGGAAAATAGAAAGAAATGACTGTAAGTTGGATGATACATATATACATGATAATGAACGGTATGGATAGTACTTACAGTTCTACAAAATCATCCAACAAGGCTATGGAGTTACGATGCACACAACTGTCTCATAGGAGTTAGAAACCTTGCAAAACGAAGTGGGACGTGCGCCTTGATCAATGTCCCACTTTCTGTGTATTCCTATTCAGGATTAAGGGGGGAAAAAGGTTACAAAAAACTAATGAGAGAACATTGGTTCTCAATAGAAGAAAATGAAAACGATCTAGAAAATACTCACTGTTCTCTCTACCATTCCAACTTGATGTATGGTACTGAGGAGCTCCCCCTTGTCAAAAGGAACCAAAGCTTCTACCCATACCATAGAATCCTACGACAAGAGAAAATTGTTAAGGCTTTCTAGCGCAACTGAAACTCCAGTGCAGTTAGCAAGAATGAACAGAGTTAGAAAACAACAGGGTATTTTCACCAACTTGATACCTTCATTTTTTCCTGAACTGCATTGCAGAATTCTTCTAACCCATCGCCATTCAAAGCAGACACACAAACAACATCTTGTTTTCTCTCTGCTTCCAACTTTAGTTTCTTAGGATCACTGACCCTGTCAACCTGCCATAAGCAGCAGTGGCTATGATGCTATCCATACAGAGTTAAGATTGCAGGAACAAAAGTTTTGGACTTGTTTCATCGGAAAAGAGTCCACAGGGGAAAAAAAAACATTACAGCACTACTGTGAAGATTAATAGATGTAGATGTGAACAAGTTTCTAGTAAATCTAATCAGAATCACCAGGAAATATCTTAAAATACCTTGTTCCAAACCATCAGCCTTGGAATTGATGATACATCCAGTTCCGACAAAACTTCGTCCACTGCATGTACCTGTTGCTCCACCAGTGGATGGCTGAACTTGATAGTTGTATGGTATAAGATAATGGCAATGATAATCAGGAAGAAATTCAATTGATCATTTGGAAAATATCATACCTGATGTCAACCACATGTACCAACAGCGATGACTCTGATATCTCCTCCAATGTTGCCCTGAAAGCAGCAACCTGTTGGAAGCAATTCATTGGCAGACCAGTCAAAACTCTTGAGCTCCATTGCAACATTAGATCTATAATATAAAATTCATCCTAACTCTCTTATTTGTCGGTTAAGCCAATAAAACAATTAGACTCTTGAGCTCCATTGCAACATTAGATCTATAATATAAAATTCATCCTAACTCTCTTATTTGTCGGTTAAGCCAATAAAACAATTAGACTCTTGAGCTCCATTGCAACATTAGATCTATAATATAAAATTCATCCTAACTCTCTTATTTGTCAATTAAGCCAATAAAACAATTAGACCCTTGAGCTGTGCATGAAAAATGGGAAGGGAGATGATCACTGAGCTTCGCATCAAAGCAGTAAAGGGCTTACAAGGGTAGTTGGGAGCTTTTGGATGAAACCAACAGTATCTGTCAGAAGGAACTCATTCCCGTTCTTTATCTGGAAGCAACCAAACAGCACAAGCATCTAATGTGAGTACATGCTGCCAGTTTCAGTAGGCCAGGTTGCCAAAAACATTGTAATATAAATTCCTATTGATTGGTAAAATATAAAGAAATCCATTGTGTAACTACAATCTCGAGTTGGCTTCATAAACAAAAAAGTTTCCAACACAAAGTGGAAAGCAATACTTGTTTGGTTCGGCACAAACATAATTATACAAGATAGATTATACCTAAGCCAATTCATAAGTAAGACTTTTCTTTCCTTTTATTTTCCTGACTTGTTGGACTGACCTGAACCCTTCTTGTAGTAGGATCAAGTGTCGCAAATAGCCGATCCTCAGCAAGAACATCTGCTCCAGTTAATTGATTCAAAAGTGTACTCTTTCCGGCATTTGTGTAACCAACCTAAATACAGTCAAATGCATGACATAACTATATGTTAGGGTCAGAACTCTGTTGTTTTCTTTCTGTTTTGGATTAGTAGAGAAAGGATAGATAGAATGTTTGTGTTTACTTACCAAAGATACTACAGGGACAGGAACAGAGGTACGCCTATTCCTGTACTGCTTTCTATGTTTTCTAACAGATTCTAGCTCTTTTTTAAGAACACCAATCTAGCAAAGCAAATGAGACAGAAAATCATGCCAAATCAACTTCATGTAAATCATCACTTCTGATTACAAAGTACATAAGACAAATTCAGCAAATCAATTACCAGTGCTAAATCCAAATATCACAGAAACAGAATCACTTCACATTGCAGAAAAGGATGTTCTATAGGAAATAATGATACATCAAGGGAAAAAAAACTCAGTGCAGGAAAAATTACATACTTGAGTACGGAGGATACGCTTATCTACTTCAATTTGTTTCTCTCCCATACCCTTCACCCTGCCTCCAGCTTGGCGCTCAAGGTGAGACCACATTCTAGTTAGTCGAGGTAACTGGTATTCCATTTGAGCCAGTGCAACCTTGAAAGACCACATAATTTCAGTGTTAGTGCATTCACAGTTTTTGCTTTCCAAGTTATGAGGAATGACTGTCATGTTTAACCTCTTTCTTAAAACTTGATGACAACATTTACTTAAATATGTGTTAAGAGCTACAGCAACAAAATCATCAGCATGTTCACATAGATAATCAGAAATGCATTACTAGACATGAAGTGCAACAGTAATCATGCCTGCAAAGATGCTTCATGTGTCGCTGCTCGCTGGTTGAATATATCCAGGATAAGGGCAGTGCGGTCACAAACTCTAACATCACCACCAAAAATCTTTTCCAAGTTACGCAGTTGTCTACAAGATCAACAAAATACAGCTTTATTACAAAATACAGCTTAGATGAAGTTAACTAAACAATGACAATAAACTATTTCTAGATTAATCATGACAATCACAAAGAGTTCAAGAAACACACAGAATCGACATCGCCAACAATCATCTCATCAAAGAGTAATCCAAACAAAGACCATTTGCATAGACAAGTTAAAGGAAATCATAATCTTACCCCGGAGAAAGTTCATCGTCAAATATTACAGTCTCAGCACCCAGTCCATGAATCGCACTCTTAATTTCCGCAACCTTGCCTGATCCAATGTAAGTCCTCGGGTTCGGAGAAGCTAGTCTAAACACAACCAGAAAAACCAGCAATCCAATATTTTCATCGAAATTTCACAAATTCATAAAAAAAATTAAAAAAATTATGTCACTTACTTCTGATAAGTAGAACCAACAACTGCAACTCCAGCAGTATCAGCAAGCTGTCCCAATTCTTCAAGGGACTCCTCTATCCCAAAAGCATCAACCGTATTGCCTTTTCGCTCAACTCCAACCAGATAAGCTTTCTCCTCGTAAACCTTTAGAAAAAAAAAACAGTTACTAGATTAAGACAGCAGCTACTAAATCATTTTAAAAAAGGGGAAAAAAAAGACTTAAAAAAGTAACCTCTCTTCCATTTCGAAGCTGGAACCTATTTTCAAAGCTGTCCTCTTCTTCTTTCTTCTTCTTCTTCACTGGGGTTTTATCTTCTGATTTGGTGCTTGCCACTCCATTGAAAACTCCATGGACTTCTTCTTCTTTTGCTTCTATGGTCTCAATTACTGGGTTTTGTACAAGAACGTTGTCAGGGGACACTACTTCAGTTCCTTGCGGGAGAACATGGGCCGTGAGTTTTAAGGAATAGGTTATGCTAGAAGTGAAAATTAGAGGGTATTTTGGTTTCTTAAGGTTAGGGAAATAGGGTTCGTGAGTTGATCGATGCCAGGGTCGTGTTAGAGAGCAGTGGGATACAATCATCGTGTAGTAGTGCTTACAGTTGCCTTCTGATAACAAGTCTGCTCTGGAGTTGGATGGTTCGACTTTTTTGCTATTTGGTGTTTTTTATTTTTATTTTATTTTATTAATGTACGGATATATTAGTATATTGTTTTGGGAAACATCAATTTAGTTCCGAAAGTGTGTATTTATTCTCAATTGGGTCCTTGACATTTTAGTTTTATTATTAGGTCTCAAAACCTTCCCAAACAACTGGGTCAATCTGTCAAAACTTTTCATTTATTGTGCATGTGATTTGTAATAAAAAGATATAATTGTAAATAAATCTGATGGGAAAGTTAATGAACTCTTATAAAAGGATGTAATTGCGAATATTCTAAAATACTTGAGTTCAAATCAATAAAATTACAAGTTTGGAATCCAATTACAAATGAGTATACCGATTCCAATCCAATGTCGAAGAAGATTTTTTTAATTACTTTAAATAAAGAAATATTGAGAGAAAAAAGGTGGGATATTTTTTTAGGTTTATATTACATGGTAATCACTAGTGTTTTTCATAAACTAGGAAGAACAAGTTCCATGATATATATCATCTATTCGTGCTTCGTCTCCTGGCAATTGACCTGCCGATCGATGAGCATATGCACAAAACAATTTGCACCGCCAGGGACACCACCGCGAATACCCTTGTCTTGTGAGAGTAGCACCGGTCTCCCTTGACCAAGATGGCAATGGGGATAGCAACATCACTCAGGCAACCCATGACCACTGCAATGACCAAAACGCATAAAAATGACGTCGAAAGAATAGCCCAAGCTGGCGAGTCCATACTTGTCTCCTTACTAAACACAGACGTTTAATCTCTCTATTTTCGCTAAAGTTTAAGACTTCTCCCTCATCAAACTTCAGCCCTGTAGTTGTGTTTATATACAAAGTTATTTCGATTCAGTGAGGGAGAATCTAGTCTCTCACACATGCACCCTTCTGATTTGATCATGCGTCTAATTAAATCTCTCCATGCAATATATTTTCCCAAATTTGTTCTTGTCATGCTTAAAGATACGTGAGATCTCACTTTTTTTCTCAGGCAAATTACAATGACCCTTTTGAAATTACAAACCTCACAAAAAGTTTTTCTTAAAAAAATAATACAGAAACCCATTTTTTAAATCCAAGATTTTATTGTTAAAGGCATGACTTTGAAAACATAAAATACATTTCAATACAAATGAAAACTTATATTAAACCTTCAAACTTCTTAACGATCTTAGTAACTTCATGATCTTAAAAAGAATTATTGCAATCTGTTAAGTTCTTAATGCTTTAGAGCAACCCATTAATGGACCAAGTCAATGCAGATCTGCCAAATCACCCGCGTGTTGGAGCAATAAAAAATGATGCTAGCTTATAAATCAGATGCGCAGATGTTTAACAGGGCAACAATTTCTTTCCTGAACAATGATTCGATTTTTCCTTTGCTTAGCGTGTTACTTGATTATCCTAGGTGTGGTTGTACCTCTAGATGTGTTAGTGTTGAAAACTGGCTCCTCGGATCACGGCTGCGTTTCAAAAATGGAAGAAGTAATGGCGATACTTAGTCTGGTTTGGATTGGCCCCTTGGCCCTTATTGTTGCCTGTATTTCTTCTCTGTTAAAAGAGGAAGAAAGCCATTAGAGCACAGGAATGTCTTGGAATGGAAAAAACAACAGATAAATGAACAAATGAGTTTGCACTACTCCTCTCTCTCTCTCTCTCTCTACCTCTATCTAGATGGTGACCACTGTAAAGATTTAGGATTAAGAGGTTTGCTTCCTCTATGATCTCAGGTTCAAGTCCTTGGTTGCTCCGTAGGATTAGTCGTGGTGCGCGCAAGCTGGCCCGAACACCCACATTAATTTAAAAAAAAAAAAATTATGCCCGTGTAAACAGTCAGAGAGAGTGATCTGCAACGAAAATGGGCTTCTGACGGGGAATGATTATCCTCGATTTATTAGCATATTGTTTCTTTTTTTGATATAAATATTGATTAATTGAAGCTGCGTCTTGTTCCACTCTTTCTTTTTTTTCAGGCTTTTAATTTGTTGCGTTTTACCCCTTTCCCTACTGCGAAAAAACAATTTCAACTTAAAAATTTCAGCAACTAGAAAATTTCATAAAAGTTTTTATTTTACGATCATGTTTCAAATCAAAAAACATTTAATAAAAAATCTAAAAACCTAAGTATACCTATTTATACCCTTAATTAACTTAAAAATCAGTTCAAAAATAAAAAATAAATAACATAAAATACAAAAATTTCCCTGTATAATATTTTTTCATTTAATTTTAAAATAAAAAAACACTTCATTTAAACTCGTTTTATTTAATTAAACATATTAATAAAAAAAACAATAATTCTGATGGTCGAAATCAATAACAAGAATTTTTTTTTTCTGCCATCAAAACTCAACCTCAACTATCATTCTCTCCTCTCAAATTAAAAACTAAAAAACATGGAAAATCAGCAGACAGATATATAATCAAGAAACTCATTTCCACTCTTCCTCTGGACAACGATGGCTCAGCATATCAAAACATTGGTAACTATCAATTAATTCATGCATATTAAATTCAAAATTTATTTATTTATTATTTTTATTTGATTGTCATGGTATTCTTAAATCAGCCCATTTGGAGTAAAAAATAAATAAATTCAGAATTCAGCTGACAACCTTCCTGCTGGGACTCTCTCTCTCTCTCTCTCTACCTCTATCTAGATGGTGACCACTGTAAAGATTTAGGATTAAGAGGTTTGCTTCCTCTATGATCTCAGGTTCAAGTCCTTGGTTGCTCCGTAGGATTAGTCGTGGTGCGCGCAAGCTCTTCTCTCTCTCTCTCCCTTTATCTAGGTGGTGGTCAAGTGGTAAAGACTTGAAATTAAGGGGTTTGCTCCCTCTGCGGTCTTAGGTTCAAGTCCTTGGTTGCTCCGTAGGATTAGTCGTGGTGCGCGCAAGCTGGCCCGAACACCCACATTAATTTAAAAAAAAAAAAATTATGCCCGTGTAAACAGTCAGAGAGAGTGATCTGCAACGAAAATGGGCTTCTGACGGGGAATGATTATCCTCGATTTATTAGCATATTGTTTCTTTTTTTGATATAAATATTGATTAATTGAAGCTGCGTATGCCCATGTAAACAGTTAGAGAAAGTGATCTGCAACGAAAATGGGCTTCGGATGGGGAATGATTATCCTCGATTTATTGGCATATTGTTTCTTTTTTGGATATAAATATTGATTAATTGAAGCTGCGTCTTGTTCCACTCTTTCTTTTTTTTCAGGCTTTTAATTTGTTGCGTTTTACCCCTTTCCCTACTGCGAAAAAACAATTTCAACTTAAAAATTTCAGCAACTAGAAAATTACATAAAAAATTTTATTTTACGATCATGTTTCGAATCAAAAAACATTTAATAAAAAATATAAAAACCTAAGTATACCTATTTATACCCTTAATTAACTTAAAAATCAGTTCAAAAATAAAAAATAAATAACATAAAATCCAAAAATTTCCCTGTATAATATTTTTTCATTTAATTTTAAAATAAAAAAACACTTCATTTAAACTCGTTTTATTTAATTAAACATATTAATAAAAAAAACAATAATTCTGATGGTCGAAATCAATAACAAGAATTTTTTTTTTCTGCCATCAAAACTCAACCTCAACTATCATTCTCTCCTCTCAAATTAAAAACTAAAAAACATGGAAAATCAGCAGACAGATATATAATCAAGAAACTCATTTCCACTCTTCCTCTGGACAACGATGGCTCAGCATATCAAAACATTGGTAACTATCAATTAATTCATGCATATTAAATTCAAAATTTATTTATTTATTATTTTTATTTGATTGTCATGGTATTCTTAAATCAGCCCATTTGGAGTAAAAAATAAATAAATTCAGAATTCAGCTGACAACCTTCCTGCTGGGAAATGTTTGTTGGGCTGGCATGGGCGTTGGGTTACGAACCAATGATCTAAATTGCTGACGCTCGGCCCTCTACCATTCCTGCCGACGTTAGTTGTCACGTGACTCGCGGGATTTCCCCAAAAGTCTTGAACAAATTTTAAGGGGTCTTGTTTGCGAGTATTTTCTGCACGTCCATATATTCATTATAAATACAATAGTTATCAGATCCCGTTTGGAACTTGACCGGCTATGGAAACGGTTTATAGGCTATATGGGTTATCTAAAATTATCCTGAAAAATTAAAAAAAATATAACATTTTAATGTTGATATAAAAAATTAAAAATAATTTATATAAATAAAATCTATAAATATTATAAATAATAAAGTTTAAAATATTATTTTAAAATATTTTTTATTTCACTTTGAAAAAACATAACTTTTTTTTTGTAAATATAATATATATATATATATTAAAGTGTTTCAAATTCTACATTAAAAAAATAATTTTTTTTTGAAACATAGATTATATATACTAATGAGCTAAATAAATTTAAATTTCACGTTGATAAAATAAAATATTCTTCTAGTAGTTATGTATTAAACTTCAAAAAGATTTAAAACCAATTAAAAAATATCAAAAAAAGAGATCTTCGACAAGGAAAAAAAACATATTTGAAAAAAAAGAATCTCAATCGTGTTTTTCTGAATTATTCGGGTTACAAGTCAGCCAAGTTTCTCTGATTTTTATTTGTGCTAGTTTTTTATCTTACCTGAATTGATTTAACTACCAAACCAACCTGTTAAATTGGTTCAGATTTAATAACTATGATAAATATTAGTTGATTTATCAGATTTTTATTTTTATATTTACTTTTTAATTCACGTTTTGTTTTTTTTCTTGTTAAATTGAGAATGCTAAATGAACTCATCCAGGAAACCTAAAAAAATAATTTATTAGTTTTTTATTATATTTACTTGGAAATTCATTTTTATTTTTACAACAACATTGATTTGTATATATAACTTAACTAGTTAGGTATTGAGTTTATTTTATAAAAATTATTAGTTCAAATCTTATAAATCTTAAAGTCATTGAAGATATACATGATTGTTACCTTTAAGCCTATAAAATTAATAGAGGTATACATAAGCTGATTTAAATACT